ATATTCGGAAAGTACCTAAATCACCTTAGATATGCGGATGATATACTCCTGATATCCTCGGAATGACAAGAAATAAAATTAATGCTGAATGAACTTCATGATAAATCACTGCAAAAAGGCCTAAACATTAACTTTAACAAAACAAAAGTAATGACAAACACGGAACACCAAGAGGCAATACAAATACAAACAGAAAAAAATAGCAGGTAAATGAGTATATCTATCTAGGACAAGCAATCAGAGCTAACAGACAAAATCAAACAACCGAAATATCGAGAAGAGTAAGAATGGGATGGGCAGCGTTCGGCAAACTTTCTTACGTTCTAAAAAATCAAACAATCCCTCTATACTTACGAAGCAAGGTATATAACTCCTGTATAATACCGGTGCTCACCTACGAAGCACAGACATGCACATTTACACAGGCCAATTTGGATAGGATAAGGAAGGCATAAGGGGCGATGGAGAGGACAAATGTTGGGTATATCACTTAAAGATAGAAAACGTAACCAGTGGATCAAAACCAGAACAAAAACAGTAGACGCGATAGAATAAGCAGCAAAACTGAAATGGAAATGGGCTGGACGCAATGAATGTCTCAAATACGGACGATGGAACAATGCCATCGGAAAGTGGCGACCATACAATGCAAAGAGATCAAGAGGCAGACTACAGATGAGACCATTTTTTCTCAGGTAACCTTGTATCATCATACTACGGAAAACTTTGCTTGAATTTAATATAAAAACATGCATATACGTCATGAGCACCGTATTTTATTAAAAAAATAAATAATCGAAATTAAATTTTTGTTCAACAATTAATTAATATTAATTAAAATAAAAATTCTTGCAGCCATTTTTGACTGGCAACCTATTCTCAATGTGTATTCTCCTAATTTTAAAGGCATGAAAAAACGTGAATTTGATTTATAGGCTATTCCACGAATATACGACCGTTTTGGTTTTACTGCGACAACGAATATTTTTTTTGTGCAAGTAGAAGTATGAAGGTCAATTGGTCTAATCATTATTCCAATAAAAAGGGTCTACTAGTATGACATCTAAACTAAAAATTATTTCAGTTTAAAATCTACAAATAAATACAATGATGTCTATGAAGCCAAATGTGTTCATCAGACATTTGGATAAGCTTTCCGTGAAATGTAAACACCAAAGAGGAGAGTGCCGGGTTTCTTTGATATTTATTACTTTATTAGGTATTACAACTGGAATAAAAAGAAATATACTATTTTTTAATATAAACGAAAAGAAATTGGCAGAACGATGGTTCACAAACCAGAAATAGGATCTAATATTTCACTTTGTTAGTTTTAAATATTTGTGTTGCTTTGAGTTTATGTACTCTTAACGGGTATAAACAAACCAGCTATTGGTGGTTAAAGTACCAAGTCGTTACAGATAATAAAAAGTATCGAAAATGTATATACAGTTTCATATACCGCCGACTAATTATGGCTAATGAATCTGATCGTTGATGATAGATTTAGAAGATAAAAGTGAACAAGTAACTTTTTTTGCTTTTTTAATATTAATTGAATATTTGACTAAAAAATTTACACTATTTGATCACTTAAGTATTGTTACATTTCGTTTAAATCACATAATTTAAAAACCAACTTGTTTACAATGAAATAATTGAAATGAAAAACTCCATGATAGTAATTATATACTTTAAAATCTGAATTACAACTGTTTTATAAATTATTAACTTTATATTTATATCATGACTTCATATTTAAATCTAAGGTTTATATCTGTCGTAACAGTATTCTAAAAATGGGGAGAATTTACTATTGTACAATTCAGTACATTGGACCATTTAAATCGACACCTTAAAGCGAATTTAAAACAGTCGTATATTCGCGAATGGAGTATACTACATTATGAACGTAGTGATCTTGCAGTCAGATCTTTTACTATAGTTTTTATTATTGTTTTATATCAGCATTCTTTCTATGTTTTTCAGTCATATTCTTCTTGTCACCTTGCCTGTAACTTTTGCTGCCCGTATTTTGTGTCCCTATAGAACCGTAGCTAATTTAAATTTGTTTTTTTTTATATAAAGCAGTATACTAATAGATATTATTTTCAGTTCTATTCGAACAATTTAAGAACCTTAAGACGTTAAGAATCCTTAAGTGATATTTTTTCTACACCACTTTAAAGAAACATAATACGCCATACTCTTCGGGAAAATTATATCCATTTTACTGTTATCAATTTGGTTAGCCGGAGGGAACTGGTGTTTTTATCTGCAATATAGCAGCAGTAAAATGGTAAGTGCTCTCGATAGCAGAGAAAAAAGTATAAAATAAAATGGCGAATAATAACGTTCAGGTTTACTCGGGAATATTTTGCATAGAATTTCTGGTATTTTATGCCATTGTGAAACCAGTTGTGAATGGATGTTAGAATAAAATATACAGTCGGTGGTACTTAAATACTGGGGAAACTATTTAGTAATGGAAATAACTTAACAATTATTCAAAATCTGTATGTTGAATCGTTGTTCTAGTAGAAATAATTGGATTTTAATCTGTAAGTTAATTTATTATATTATAGTTTATTTTTATGAACGAGAGAGTAATTAGCATAATTTTAACTGGTACCTTCGACCACTCCATGGGCGTGCTCAAGATTAATTGAAAAATTACTTTGAATAATTGTAAAAAATAAATAAATTATTTCAGTGTTATAAAGTGTTATGTGTATGCAAACAAAAGTGACCTCTTTTATCACACGTTATATTAGAACTGACTGGCCTACATTAAAAAGGGTTTTAAAAAATTCACATTTTTTTTAATTTTTAAAAATTACAAAAGAGAAAAAGAGTTTTTAAAACCGTCTAAGGTATGTTAAATAGATGAATAAAAATATTAATATAAAACTTACAGCTACTTGTTACAAATCCAAATCAGATTCAGAAGATGAACTTTCAGAACCAAGATTTATAATAACTGGCTCGATCATTTTATCAGTATTGTCAGCTACCTTTCTTTAGTTGATTCTGCTTTTCCCAGTTTTCAGGTTTTACATTATTTACGGCCTCCAAAAAACAACTGTTTAACATTACGAATTTTAAAAGTGGTATTTTTTCTTGAAACTTCACTCTTTATCTGTGCCCATACCAGTTCAATCGGGTTTAATTCACAATGATATGGTGGGGATTAAGTACTGTCATTCCACGCTTTTTGGCAATTTCATCAATTTCGTATTTTTAAAATTTTTCTTTATGAAGGGCACACAACGAATAAAGTTCCTTTCTTATAGAATCCGGGATGGTACGTATATATTTTTGGAACTCAGTCAATTCTGCAAGTCTTTTTTTAACCACTTGGTTGTAGGCAGTCCTTCTATAAGTCTGGAGTGATAACTTGCATTATCCATTACTATTACACAGTTCTTAGGAAGAAGATCTATCATTTGTTCGAACCATTCTTGAAAGACATCAGCGTTCATGTCTTCATGGTAGTCACCGGTACGAGTTGATTCAAAAGTTAATAAACCACCTTCAACAAAACCGTCTGAACTGCCAATGTGTACTATTATCAGCCTGCGTCCCTTTCCTGATGGTGGGTTAAAACCAGTAGATAAGTTATTAACAAAAGCGTGCCTTTGACTTGTAACAGTTTCATCCTGTCAAAATTTATTTGGTGTATGACCCTCGTTGATCCATGTTTCATCAAGATAAAATATTTTTCTTTTTTGGTTTCTCATTTCCTTTATGGTTCTTAGAAAATATCTTCTCCATATGACAATATCGTTTCTTTCTAATAAAATAGACTTTCTGGGATTCTTTTTCCAGCGGAAGCCTATTTCTTTTAAAAGTTTCCATAACGTACTTCGACTCATTTCTGGGTAATCCTTATCATCTCGAACTGAGACAAGAACTTTATCCAATGTTGGAAATTCTTGTCTAAAGAAGAATTCATGACACTTTCCGTCGAAGTCCTTCTTTAAAATGATATTCTATTTGAAATTTTGGTTTCCCTGGAGCATTACGTGGCATTTGAAAACTACCACATTTCTCTTCTTTAATAACTCTGTAAATCGTAGATTTCCCAACACCAAGTGTACTGCTAACTAACTCAACGGTCTCATCAACACTTTCACATAAACGTTTGTCTGTAAATGATTTAAAACAATTAAATATTAATGTTTTTTCATTAACTGTTAAAGGACCAATTTTTCGGCGTTTACACGGCACTTCCAAATTTTCCATAACACTAGTATACACAATAAACTGCACCTTGCAACTGAAGTACCTACTTTTAGTGAACTGTTAAGAATTTTGAATACGCCACTTGGACCTTCCTACAAAATGGAAAAACCCACTATCACATTTTCTGTGGAATAAGTTTAGAAGGTAATTATCTAGTCAATTACTGTCGTAGATTCCTGGAATTAAAGAATTAAATGTTTGATTGTTGAAACACTTACTTCGTGGAATGCACTCATTTCAGATAAAATAAAACGTTTTATTTTATCTAAAGAATTAAACTTTATTTTGCAAATAGGTAGGTACTTATTAAACTTTTATTGGTTATATATAACCAATAAAATAAACATCTTACATTTCTTGCAAATTCATTAGTACCTGTTAACCTCCATCACTCCGACACTGGCAACCTTATTTAGGGATTAGTAACCCTCACAACTATTGTATTCTATTCTGCTCCAACCTTTATACCTGGTGGTCATACTCAATTTAAAATTGTTTTCCTATATACTTCTGTAAACTTGTTGACAAATATCTGTTTTTCATTGAGTCACCCGTATCAACACTTTAGGGATTTGCATACATAATTTATAGTTTTATTACTCTCTCATACATAAAAATACACTATAGTTATATGGGTTTTCAAGTGCTTCAATACTTTAGACAAAATCAAAACTAATTCACACAAGAACATATAGAACACAATACTCGTAATATTCTTCTACACTGTTAAAAATTCGACTAAGAGACTCACTTACCAGTACGAATAAGTTTAAAGCTAACTGCATTGTGAGACTTCAAATGTTCGTTGTAAGACGGATGTATAAGGTCCTTCAATGGAGATTCATTTCCCGCCATTTTGGCTGGATCTTTCTCTAGCGCCGATGCTTTCTTCGGCGTAACAGCTCCTCGCACGTTCTGGAAGAACTGTTTTTTCTTTGCCGGCGACTTTTCTACGAAAAAAATTATTATTTGTAACTGATATTGATTTGCGTTTGAGTTAATTTATGCATTTTAGAATTCGAGATACATGATTTAATGACACATCCGCATTAACACAGGAAAAAGTCTAAAACAGACATTCAATAAATAAAAATGGTAAGCATATAGCATTTTTCATATAAAAATTCTTGCACGTCACAAATTATATAAAATGACGTCACTTATATTTAAAATTTCCAGAACGTCAACCCTAGAGTTCAAAACCTCAAATTTTCACAGCTAATAATATGCGAAACCCATACGGAACTGCTCGATCTTTCATAGGCGTCAACATGGTAGGTATATCGATCAAAAAAATGTAATCATCATTATATTGGGAATTTTAGAATTATATTGAATAAATAACCAAAAATATTTGTTATTATTAATAATACAAAATTTTATGAAATAACTCTTTAAGTGTAATATTTCACAAATAATAATTTTAATTAAATAGATTAGACAATTTTACGCAACTGATAAGAGAATACTTTACATTTTATTGGCAGTTTAGCGTGTGTCAAAATTGTTTGAAGTGTTGCCGGTTTTTTGGAGTAAGAATTTTGTTTATGTTTTGATTTCTTACACAATTTGATCATAATATAATATATATTATTAAATTGTATTTATAAATACATATTAAAATTTAGATTAATAGCTTTAAAAACGAATTATTGTTGTGTATTGTGATTGTGCTATGCCAAAACAAATAAATAGTCTGTAGAAATCTGATAAGCTTTCATATAAGATATGTTATTTTGAACAAGAAATAATGGCAGGACGTTTTTACTATTAAAGCCCTAAAAGGGGAAAGTTTAAAATTTAGAATATATAATTTTGTATTAAAATGTTTTCTTATATATTTTAGTATGTTGCAGTAGTCTTAAAACTAAGTAAATTTACTGTTAATATAATAGTTTGACAAATAGTTGACATTCTAAAAATTCCTCACTTACTAACTATTCTGATGTTTTGGCAATGCTGTGGGATTCTGATGTCGTAAATCTTGAATGACGTGCAAGCATTTTTATATGAAAAATGCTATATCTATCAAGCTCATTGTAAAGGATGGGAGTATTGTGTTAATTATATGTAAAAACCTACAAAACAGAGTAACGATTAATTGTTATCAAAAAAGATTTAACCAGCATTTGATCACAATAAATAACATATTAATTCTGTCACTGAATTGTATAAAACAGATATACTTTTTAAGTAGATCTATTTAAAAATTTAGCTTTAAGGATAATTCAAAAATTTTCTACAGGGTTTAAACTTAAAAAATTAGATAACTAAACCCATCATAATTATCTTTTATAAGTTAATTAACACATAAAATTCTAACGCTAAATTAAAACATATCTATATTTTTTATTGTCTGCTTATTTGTAGGACACTAGAAACACGTTAAAGCCGGATCCAGACAAGTGTAACGTGGTAACTTGTAGATAACGTGGTAGGTAAGAATTCTACTTGTAACTAATCATCAAACTCTCAAAAACTATCAAAAATCCTCGCATGTTATATATCATTTGGAGCGCGTCTTTACATGCCGCCACAAGTTGAATCATATTAGGCATGCGTTTAGTTCGTCGACTCATTGTCTCGTTGTTCTTTGCTTTTTGGATAATTTTCTCTTTGCTTATGATTTATTGTCCTATTTTTAGGTTTAGCACCTCTTCAGGGCGTGGTTTGTTTTTTGTTGGGTTGGCTTTTGTCATTGCATTTGGACTCACTGGTGGTACGCCTTGTTGGATGTGTCCTGCATATGAGGTGGATCCAGGGTGATCAAACACGAAAGAGTTGTTGAGCTAAATTGGTTCTTTTCAGAATTTTATTAGTAAAAAATATATGTCTATAAATTGACTGAATTTAATAACCAAATATATAAATTATAAATCGCGAAAACCGATCCCTTCCTGTCTAGCAACCTCAAAGTAAGCATTTAGTAATTACGGTTATAATGGAGAAGAGTTGCCTACAGAATATCAATGTATTCATCAGGTAGTTCGTTGCTGACAAGGAAACTAAGAAGGCAATGTCGTCTGCGTAGAATAAAGTGAGGGTGTGAGCGTATCGTGAATTTGGAATGTCGCTGTTGTATATTGTGTATAGTATAGGTACCAACACTGAACCTTGGGGAACTCTTGCTGTATAAGTAAAAGAAACTGAGAAATGACCTTGAATTTTTACCGTGATTTTACGTTAAGTGACGTATGAATAGATAAAGCTAACGAATGGAAAATGCAGGCTGATGTTCAGTAGTGTCTTCATCAGTCCAGCATGCCATACTTCGTCGAAGGCTTTTTGAACATCTAGAAAAATACTGAGTGAAAGTTTGCCGTCGTTTAGACTTTGGGTAAGATGTGTACCAATTTTTGTTTTTGCTGGTCTGATGGAGTGACCTCCTCTAAAGTCGAATTGGAATATTGGAATGACCGTATGTTCTGTGGTTAATTGAACGAAACAAACGTATCAAACAAGAACGATACCAAAAAGAGCTAAGGACAAGACAAAAATCAGTAGAGACACTGAAACAAATAGATATAAACGGGCTAGCCAATAAAATAAAAATAACTGTAACAATATCGGTTTAGAAAATATGCTTAAACACGAAAACAGCCAAAACATCTTAACTACAATCTAATACAATTAAACTATTACAAGAAAGACGAAACAGATTAGATCGAACTTCGGACAGCTTCAAAAGTTTAAACAAAAACGTGAAGAAAGAAATTTGGAACAATCATAGAAACTATATTAACAATCTAATAAAATATATAATACAAGATAACTACAGTATGAAAAAACTAAAAGCAAAAAACTCAAGCGGCATAACTAAAATCCTAGAAATAAAAAATGAGAAAAATATCACCGTCCGAGACAGAAAGGAAATAAGCGAGACCATTAAAAATTCTACACTAAATTATACTTAGGAAATACACAACCACTAAAACGACGTATTGAACGAACAATGACTCACACCGGCTTAGAAGAAATACCGGACATAACCGACTATAAAATAAGAATAGCCCTAAATCAACTAAAAACGACTAAATGTCCGGGAGAGGATAAAATAGCAGTTGAAATTTTGAAAATTGGTGGCAGAAAAAATAAAACAGGTATTAAATATTTTATTTAATAAAGTAATTGACGAAGATAAGATTATTCAAGAATGGTACAACTCCGAAGTCATTTTACTATTGAAGAAAGGAGATAAAGCAAACATCGAGAATTACCGACCAATATCCTTGCTATCCTATATAGACCACTTGCACACCGTAAGAACACTAATAGAAAAATGCACCGAGTATAATGTTCCAATTCATATCGCGTTCGTCGATTTCCACAAAGCATTCGATACCATCAAATTATGGGCAGTGCTTGAATCTCTAGAAAATTCATGTATAGATTCAAGATACATTAACGTAATTAATAACATGTACGAAAATGCCACCATGCAGATAAAGCTGGACGAAAGCACAAAAACTAATCCCATAAGACTACAACGGGAAGTAAGTCAAGGAGACCCCATCTCTCCCAAACTATTTACCCTTGCTCTAGAAGACATTTTTAAGAAACTAAAATGGAACAACAAAAGTACCAACGTCAACGGATCATACTTAAACCACTTGAGATTCACATATGACATCGTTTTAATAGCCAATAATATCCAAGAACTAAATGTTCACAGGAGCGGTAGGCTTAAAAATGAACGACGGTAACACAAACATACTGAGCCAAGACCAGACAAATATAACAATACAACAATATGTATATCTAGGTAATGTCATCAAACTAGGAAACAAATGGCATGAAGCGCTTTCGTCAAACTAGCATATATTTTGAAAAACACCTTCATTCCTGTAAACTTAAAGAAAAAGGTGTAGATTTGTATACTACCAGTTTGTACCTACGGCTTGGAGATAGTAATCGTTACCAAAAATCTGCTAAAAAATTAGAAACAACGCAAAGGGCAACGGAACGAATCATGCTTGGAATATCACTGAGAGACAAGATTAGAAACACGAGATAAGACGTAGAACAAAGATTGGGGATATTGTGGAAGAAATTACAAAAATGAAATGGCGCTGGGCAGGTCACGTAGCCCGATATAATGACAACAGGTGGACACGGAGAATTCTAGAATGGAGACCAACGACGACAACAAGAAGTATGGGAAGACCTCAAAAAAGATGGGTAGATGACATAACAGCAGTGGCAGGCAAAGAGTGGAATAGATTGGCACAAGAAGATGGAAGCGATTGGGAGAGACCTACATTCAGGAGTAGATGGAAAATGGTTGACAAAGAGACAAAGAGAGTGGTATCTCTTTAAGGATCATTTTGAAGACCTTAGCCAAGCCGTTTAGTAGAGAAATCGGTCTGTAAGATGTAGATCGGTCCGGGGTTTGCCTTTTTTTGGAAAATGATTGTGTTGGCTTCTTTCCATGATGATTGGAGAGGTAGGAGAGTCCAAGAGTGCCATTAATAATGTTCGTCAGGTAGAGTGTGATGCTCAGTGGAAGTTGTTTTACGCAGTCTCTGGCAATTTTGTTAGGTCCCGGTGCATTTGATCTGCAAATTTGGCAGAAATGTTTAAAAGTTTGTTGATCTACAGGTGGCAAGATCGGATATTTATGTGATTCCAGTGGATTGAAGGGGGTGCTAGTCGTCTTGTTGTATCTAGCTCGGTTATTTCAGGAAATTCATAGTCAAATCTTAGGTCATCGGGGGTGATTAAGGTATTTTGTGAATATGTTTTGAAGGCGTCAGCCTTCTGTTAATTTGAATTGATCATTTGTACATAACGAGACAGTGGAATGTAAAACATTATAAACGCCTTTATTTTCTTAATTGCTGATTGTTTAAGGATAAAAAGTTACATTTAAAAATTTTAAAATAAAAAAAATTGCTTTGGTATTGGCACAATACACTAATAAGGACTTATAAATGAACACAGCCATGATTGC